CATCAAATACATTTGATTGTCATTCTATTTCAGACAAATAGAATACATTTGATTGTCATTCTATTTAGACACATATCAAATACATTTGATTGTCATTCTATTTTAGACACATAGAATACATTTGATTGTCATTCTATTTTAGACACATAGAATACATTTGATTGTCATTCTATTTTAGACACACATCAAATACATTTGATTGTCATTCTATTTCAGACACATAGAATACATTTGATTGTCATTCTAGTTTAAACACATATCAAATACATTTGATTGTCATTCTATTTTAGACACACATCAAATACATTTGATTGTCATTCTATTTCAGACACATAGAATACATTTGATTGTCATTCTATTTTAGACACACATCAAATACATTCGATTGTCATTCTATTTCAGACACATAGAATACATTTGATTGTCATTCTATTTTAGACACATAGAATACATTTGATTGTCATTCTATTTTAGACACATAGAATACATTTGATTGTCATTCTATTTTAGACACACATCAAATACATTTGATTGTCATTCTATTTCAGACAAATAGAATACATTTGATTGTCATTCTAGTTTAAACACATATCAAATACATTTGATTGTCATTCTATTTTAGACACATAGAATACATTTGATTGTCATTCTATTTCAGACAAATAGAATACATTTGATTGTCATTCTAGTTTAAACACATATCAAATACATTTGATTGTCATTCTATTTTAGACACACATCAAATACATTTGATTGTCATTCTATTTCAGACAAATAGAATACATTTGATTGTCATTCTATTTTAGACACATATCAAATACATTTGATTGTCATTCTATTTCAGACAAATAGAATACATTTGATTGTCATTCTAGTTTAAACACATATCAAATACATTTGATTGTCATTCTATTTTAGACACACATCAAATACATTCGATTGTCATTCTATTTCAGACACATAGAATACATTTGATTGTCATTCTATTTTAGACACACATCAAATACATTTGATTGTCATTCTATTTCAGACACATAGAATACATTTGATTGTCATTCTATTTTAGACACACATCAAATACATTCGATTGTCATTCTATTTCAGACACATAGAATACATTTGATTGTCATTCTATTTTAGACACACATCAAATACATTTGATTGTCATTCTATTTTAGACACATAGAATACATTTGATTGTCATTCTAGTTTAAACACATATCAAATACATTTGATTGTCATTCTATTTTAGACACA